GAGCTCACAACAGGACCTGGCACAGAGTAAGCCTTTAATAAATGCTGCCTGTTGGTTGGGAAGCAAATAACTATATATACAAGATCCACACGGTGTAAATAAAAGGTAATAGCAGAGGTGGAAGGCCCTAGCAGGGGCTGGAGTGAAAAACCACCCAGAAACCGCCTGCTGAAGAAGGTGAGCATTAAACTGAGCCTTGAAGGAAGCCAGTGAAGCCAGGAGGCTGAGGTGAGGACGGGGGCAGTCACTGCTCACAGAGTGAGGAGATGGACAGTGAGGAACAGTGACGAGGTCAAAAAAGCTGGATCATCGAATGTGTGTGGAGGAGTCAGGTGTGAAAAGGCAGGGAAAGGTATGAAGGAGCCAGTCACAAAGGGCTCTCAATGCCAAACACAGCATTTGATATTGGGTCCTGAAGGCTATCAAGAGCCACTGGGGGCTTATTGAGCAGGGGCATAATGTGTCCACTTGACAGGTCAGAGAATGAGTTGGAGGAGGGGGAGACTTGAGGCAGAAGGATCCACCAACAGTCTGGGCATAAGGGGGCAAGGGCTTGCACCAAGGTAGCAGCTGTGTGAGTGTAAAGAAGGGGATGCACATAAGAAAAGTCATAAAGGTAGAAATGATAAGATCTGGCAATGGGATGGATATGTGTGGTGAATGCAAGAGAGCAGTCGAGGATGACTCCAACGCTGTGAGCAGTACTGGAAGGATGGCAGAACAGTTTTAAAGAAGAAAAGGTTGTCGGGAGTGGGGCAGAGATAATAAGCTCTGTTTTGGAAATATTTAATTTGAGATGCTTGTGGGACATCCACTTTGAGTGGTCCAAAAGGCACATGGTGTTGCAAGCCTGGAGATTCAAGAGAAAGGTTAGAGATGTATGCATGGATAGATAGATGGATAGATAGATAGATATGGATATAGATATAGATCTGGGGGTCTTCTGCATAGAAATGATCATTGAACCCAAGGGAGCTGAAGAGTTCACCCAGAGAGATCGTCTAGAGAAAGAAGAGAAAGTCCAGGACAGTGCCTTGGGGGACACCTACAGTTAGCGCGCATGGTGTGGATGAAGATCCAGCAAAGAAGACTGAGAAGGAGTTGTCAGGTAGAAAGAGAACGAGGAAAGAGTGTCTTGAGAACCTGGAGAGGAGAGAGTGTCAGGGAAGACAGAGTGATCCTGTGTTTTGAAGTCTGTAAAGAGGTCAAGAAGGGTGAGAATTGAGTAAAGGCCATTAGGTATGTCCATTAAGAGATCATTGATAACTGGAGAGAGAAGCTTCAGGTGAATTATGAGGTAGGAAGCCAGGGTGCAGAAGGTTTAGAAGAGAGTGATAGAAAAGGAAGTGGAGATGCCAATCGTATGTAGTCAGGGGGTTGATCTGCTGGAGAAGATGAGACGAGATGGGGAGGGATGAAGGGTGTATATAGAAGAGTTTTTGTTAGTGAGGAGAAGGATCACCTGAGTGACACGAGATGAGGAGGGGAGAAGAGAGGGCCCTGGGTGAATGGCCTCAATTTTTCCATAAGGCATGAGACCAGGTCCTCAACTGAGAGGGTAGCAGGGGAGGTTTTTCTAACTGCAATTCTATGACCCTGGGTTCCTAAAAAGGGGAATAAATGGTTTGTTTCATCACAGCCACTGCTACTGCCTGATCATCCTTAACCCCCAAGCCAAGAACCCCCTTAAGGGTTATTGGGCCCTGCTACCAGGGCAGCTAGGTTGCACAGTGGATAGAGGACTGGGCTTGGAATCAAGAAAATTCCTCTTCATGAATTCGAATCCAGCCTCATGAAACTAACTGTGTAATCCTGGGCAAGTTGCTTAACCCTGCTTGCCTCAGTTCCTCATCTGTAAAATAAGCTGGAGAAGGAAATGGCAAACCACTCCAGTATCTCTGCCAAGAAAAACTGAAATGTTTTTTGTTTCCTTTTGGTCTGTTTCTTCTTTCACAACATGACTAATATCAAAATATGTTTTACATAATTACATATATATATAATGTATATCAAATTGCTCGCTGTAGTTTTTTTAGGAAGAGGGGAGGAGAGGAAGGGGAAAAAACTGGAATTCAAATTTTGTAAAAAGGAATGTTAAAACTTGTCTTTACATATAATTGGGAAAATAAAATCCTTTGAAAAGAAAAAAAGAAAACCCCAAAGGGAGTCATAAAGAGTTGGGCATGACTGAATAGCAGAACCAGGAAAAGAGGCCCAGAGAATAAGGCAAGGGGGAAGAGTTTAGGTAGAAGAAATAGAGGGCGAGTGGGCTGTGGGATATTTAACCCCATGTAGCCACCCTCACACCATCAGCCTCGACTGGGAAATGTTGACCAGCAGACCACCTGCTTAGCAGAGGCTGAGGGGTCTGCAAAACTGGTTTCTGGACCACCTAAAATTGTTAATAAAATCCCTAGGATTATTTAATTCCCTCCATCCTCTGTCTTCCATTCCAACCTTTCAGTCCTATTCAGGCTCCATCCCAACCCCTCTCATCCTCCATCCTCTCTATGTCCTGTCTTCTCCATCATATGTCTTCCATTCGTCCCCTTACTCTGCCTCTTCTGCCTTCTTTGTTTCATGACCTTTATTCTTCCCATCTGGTCTTTCTCCATCTTGTACTTCACTCCCCCTCTATTCCTTCCACCCTGATGGAAGAATGCGGGAGGAGCATAAACCTCCCTTAAAATTTCATTTCAAACCAACTATTAGTCAGGGCTAGAATCACTGTCTGCCATCTTCTCTCTCTCTCACCAGGAGAGGGGAGGCCTTGATCCTGATTGGCTCCCTCAAAGCAAGACACTACCTGGTTCCTTTAGTCTCAAAGGGGGACATCCCACACAAATCAGAGCCCTCAATTTCATCTATAACTCCACACACCCAGTCCCAGTTCTCAATCCCTGGTCCCTCCCATCCCAAATTTCTTGGGATTCACTCACCACCATAGTCTGGTTACAGTATCGAGCACAGCCCTTCTTCATCACATTCAGGCCATCTGGGTCATGGATGTAAACACACTCCTTGGGGAAAATGTTCTAGGAGAAGGAGGAAATAAGAGGGAGTGGGAGTTTTAGGAGGGATAGCTGTGAATCCCTGTGGAACCAGACTTCTCCATCCTGATTCCTTCTTCCCATACTGACTTACAATGTGACCTGGGACATGTAGCTTGACCTCTCTGGGTTTGCAACCTTATACTTTGTAAACTATAAAGTGCTATGTAAATTTTCACTATTATTGTTAATATTATGTAACCCAGTCCCAAAGCCTGTGGGTATGGGACTCTGTCTTGATGGTAATTGGTGAGAGCAAGAGAGAGGAGAGAGGGGAGCCCTTCAGTTTTTGTCAGCTCTGCCCATACTGATCTCCACTAATCAGGAGACAGTCCCATACCAATGTTCTTTGGGTCTGCGGTTACTATTATTGTTCATGACTATTATTATTCCCTTTAGTGAGAGGCATTCTGACGTAGTGGATAGAAAGCTGGCTTGAGAGCCGAGAAGACCTGAGTTCAGGTCCCACCTTCGATGCATGCTGGTTGTGTGATGGCGGGGGAGTCACTTTACTTGTCAGTATTCTAGGCCAGTGATGTCAAACTCAAATAGAAAATGCATAAAGATCCCTGTGGGTGCATATTGACTTAGAAAACCATATATTAACATTATTTATGTTTTAGTATATTTTTATTCATTTTGTTAAATACTTCCCAAGTACATTTGAATCTGGTTCTGGCTACCCTTGGGAGTACTGTGGTTCACATGGGATGCACAGGCCTCATGTTTCACACCTTTGGCCTAGAGCACAGAGAGCCTAAGTGCTTAGGGCAGGAATGGGGAACCTGTGGGCCTCGAGGCCACATGTGGTCTTCTAGGTCCTTAAGTGCTGCCCTTTGACTGAACCCAAACTCCATAGAACAAATCCCCTTGGTAAAAGAATTTGTTCTGAAAACTTGGACTCAGTCCAAAGGCCACACCTAAGGACCTAGAAGGCTACGTGTGGTCTTGAGGCTGAAGGGTCCCCACCCCGGCCTAGGATCACACAGTGAGTAGGCATCAAAGGCAGGACTTGAATCCAGATCCTTTTGTCCTGAGGCTGGCTCTCTATCCACTAGGACATGCTGCCTCTGGGGCAGTCAGAGACAGCTGCTGCTCTCTCAAACTTCCACTCCCTGGTCACAATTCTGTAGCTACAAAGAAATCAACAGGCAGTGAGGTTGTCTGACAACCTCATTATTTCTCTTCTTTGTATCATTATTATTATTAGTGGGGCTGGGGTCGGGGAGTGATTCTGAGGTAGGAGATTCCATTCCTGTTTAGGGACCTCGGACCCGCAGGGCGGCAAAAGCAGAGCGTGCCATACCCAGACCTTTCTTCCACAGCTCAGAAGTCACTCATACACCATCCAAGTTGGGACTGGGTAATTCCCTTCCCCAGGAGGGTTATTTCTGAATTTATGGATTATTTTTCCTCTTCTAAATATTCCTAGCAAATGCCCTGGTTTGGTAGAAGGGTATGGAGACAGAGAAGGACAGAGGGGATCTTGGGGCCTTGAGCTGGGGTTCAGGGATCAGGGGTGGTTTTCGCCTCCTACTACCTTGTAACCTCCCCTCAACCCCAAGACCCCTGGACTTTCCCAGCCCTTGAGCCTGCTTGTCTCCCTGGGCTTAGAGCTCTGTCTCCAACAGACCCTCAATTATCTTCATGTAAATGGAGGCCTTGGGCCCTTCTGGTTCACTGAAGAGAAAGGAGCTGGCAACTTTGGAAGATGACTGCCGCTCAATGAGGTCCTTCTCAAGCAGAGGATGAATTTCAATGACCATAGAAACTCAGGCCCAGGCTTTGCTCCAGACTTTCTTTTTTAAATTTTAATGTTAACTTTTTTTTCAATTACCAAACATCTATTTTCTCTTATTCCCACCTCTCCCCCCACCCCCATACACAATGGTGCAATCTTTCTTTAGGTTCCCTCCTCCCTCATGCCCCACCAGAAGCACTCCTAGGAGAAGCCTCTTCAACCCCACAGCACAGCACTCACCAGCTCTTGGCTATTGGGGGGACATACACTGGTATTCTGGGCCTGGCAATCCACACAGGTGCCCTGGGAAGAGTTAAAACTGCTAAGTCCCTGCACTTTGCAGCAATGGTCCTCCTCCCTGAGGCCACTTTCCTGGGGATGGCTGGTAGTTGGTAGGCCCCTTTGGTAAGTACTCACCATCACAATCTTGTACTGGTCCTCATTGCATCGATGGGGCAAGATGGGCAGGATGGATGGGGGCAGCAAGATGCCATCCAGCAGGTGGATGATTCCATTGGATGCCACAATATCCACGCTCTTCAAAGGGATGCCAGGAGACCCCAAGAAGATACGCCCCTATGATAGAAATCCCCCATGCCTTCCCATTCACCATCTCCCCTACACTGGCCCTGGGAAAAATGGCACTGAAGACCTGTGAGCTCATTTGGGCCCTAGTCCATCCCATTGCCTCACTGGATAACCCTGGCCAAGTGCCTTTCCCTCTCTGTGCCTCAGTTTCACCATACACACAATGATGGTCCCTAGGGTTCCCTCCCTGTATATTCTGTTTGGTTCTTATTGAATTGTTGACCTGTAATGTACAGTAAAAAGAGTTCAAATGGGAGCCAGAAGGCCTGGGTTCCAATATCGGATGCTACCAACTTGCTGTGTGGCCTTCAGCAAGTCCCATTAATAGCCTTGCCCACTCCCCTCCCCATGGGTCTCAATTTCTTTGAATTTAAAATGGGAACGTGGGACTGGATTATCTCTAAGGTGCCTTCCAGCTCTGCCAACCCAGGAGTCCATAAATCTACCTATGTGTAACAGAGGTGATCAGTCAGTCAGTCACCAAGTATCTCCATTATGTGCTGGGCACAGCAAAGAAAGAAAGAAGGGAGGGGAACTGGGTACCCCCCTCCCTCGAGAAGCTTACAGACATCCCTCATCAAAGGCAGCTCTATACTCTCATCCCTGACTGAAGGGCCAAGGGGGTCTGTGGACAATCATAAAACACCTATGGCAGGTCTGTGTCTGCAGTGGGAGAGCCGGCCCCCGCACTCACCTCCTCTGTGATGTTTGTGAGCACGACCTGGTTGGCCATGGTCTGGATTTGCTTCAAAGAGATCAGCTTGTCCACAGTGAGCTGAAGAGACAGAGTATAAAAGCAGAGGTGGGTAGAGCTAATCAGGAAGGCTTCCTGGAGGAGTCGGGGTCGAAGGAACCTCTAGGAGAAACTGTGACTGAGGAGATGGGGGTGTCCGAGGCTGAAAGCTGAGCCTAGAGGTCTCTTACCTGGGCATTGCTGTAAATGTGATACTTCACCAGTTCCTGCAGTTTGGAGATGCCCTAGGGGATAAAAGGGGGCAGTGAGTCCTTGGTTGGTCTAATGCAGCCCTTTGGTTATAGAGCCAAGCTCAGACACTGGTCACTGTCTCTGACCTCAGGGAGCTGCTGGTCTTAGGGGGAGGGCAGGATACTGAGGGGAGAGACCACAGAAACAGGATTTTGGGGGGTGAGCTGGGATAGGGTGGGAAGGTCAGAAACTGCATTGATGGAGGGGAAAAAGTTTCGGGTGAATGCAGAACTTCTCCCATAAAGGTGATTTTAAACTGTCACGGGGTGAGTGGGGTTGGAGGAGCCCAAAAGATGGCTTGAGTCAGGCAGTTTCAGTCAGGTTGGGAGGAGGTGTGGCCCTGAGGGTGGGATGGGTCAGGCAGTACTGGAGGTATTCCATTGACTCCTTCTACCCAAACATCCACCCCACTTCCTCAGGCCCAAGGCCACTCACCTCGGTGAATAGGTAAATGAGCCTCCCATCTCTCAGGCTGTCCACCGCGTCGTTACTGGGGGCAAATACTGTGAATGGCCCTGGGCCTTCAAGGATGGAAGGGAGACCACAGTTCTGGAATCAACAATTCAACTATTAAGCATCTGCCCTGTATGCTCAAGTCCTGTGTTCCAGGGCACCGGCCCTGACCACATGCAACTTACATTCTTCATGGCCTAAGGGAAAGTCCTGGGTTCAAATCCAGTCTCTGCCATTTACTAGCTCTACAAACTTGATTGAATAAGTCACCTCCCAGCCCCGGACCCCACTTTCCTGATCTGTGTTGGTAGAGGAAGTTTGCACGGTCAAAGATATAAAATTGGAGGGAACCTTAGAAGTTGTGGAATTCAACCCCTTATTCTACAGATGAGGAAACCGAGGCTCAGGGAATTTGTCCAGGGTTACTCAGCTAGTGACTGAGGCAGTAATTTCAACTCAGCTCTTTATGATTCCAAAGTCCACACTTCACTTTATCCACTAGTTTCCACCCAGAGGCTCCCTATGCTAATAAAATTCCAGGGCCCATTAACAAAGGAACACATATTTATTAATATGTATCAGGCTCTGTGTTTAGGGCAGGGATGGGAAACCTTTGGCCTCAAGCCCCCACGTCTCAAGTGAGGATGAAGACCTAGAGGACCACATGTGGCCTCCAAACCACAGATTCCCCACCCCTGCTTAGGGGCTTACTATAAATATAAAACAAACAGAACCTTGACAGCTGAAGAAAGCTATAGGGTAATACCTCGACGGAGTGAAGGGTTTTGTTTTTGAGATAGAGGAGACTCAAACACATTTGTGTTTCATTTGAAACAAGACCATGGAAGAGACGGGAGAGAATGGGAGCAAATCAGAGGATGGGGATGCTCAGGCATCTGAGGTCTTCCAGAATGCAGAGGATGTTGAGAGAGGAAAGGAAGGCCCCGAGGCAATGCTGTACTTTATATAGGGCTTTCCTTATACACAGTCCTGTAAGGTTGTACAGATGACCCCCATTTTACAGATGAGGAAGCTAGAGCTCAGAAAAGGAGAATAGAAGCAGTGTGGGTTAGTTTTTTAGAGAAAGAGAGAGAGAGAGAGAGAGAGAGAGAGAGAGAGAGAAGGAGGAGGGGAGAGAGGGGAGAGAGAGAGAGCTCAAGGATGGAAAAAATGTATCTTCCTCTCTTCCTTGCTAAGGGTGGGGGCTAAGAGAATGAAATATTGCTTATACTGCCAGACTCAATTGATATGGGTTAGTTTTGTTCAGCTGCTTTTCTTCCTTTCTTTTTTTAACTTCCTTATTACAAGGGAGGCTAACTGTGTAGGAGGGAGTGATATATTCTGAAATGAAGGTGATATAAAAACAAAAGATATCATTTTTTTAAAAGAGCTAGCTTAAGGCCTGAAGTCAAGAAAACTGGGCCCTAGACTCAGTTTTGCTCAGTACCTTTAGTAATCTCCTTCCCTTCCCCGGGCACAAATATCCCTGTCTGCAAAACAAAGGGGTAAAATGAAATAATCTCTGAGGGCCTTTTCAATGCTGATATTATAAGAAGTTAGCTATGGAAGGCCCAAACAGCTCAAACTCAGTTACACCCGAGTCTGAATCACAGCTCATCCATCCGTCTCGTCTCTCGCTGAGACCCTGGACAAATTGCTTCCATTCTGTGGGCCTCGGTTTCCTTCTCTGTACAAAGGGCATAAGAATCCTTGTTTTGCCTCCCTCACAGTGCTGTTTTAAGAATAATGAATTAAGATAACGGATGGAAAGAATTCTGATAAATAGGAGCTTATTAAAGGGAAGGAGGAAGAGTCTGAGACCAAGGAACCAGGGCTGGCAGCCATCTGGGGGAGCAGGAGACAAGGGGACCGTCTAGGCGGCCAAGTCAGAAAGCGGAGCTGTCTCTTCTGAGGCCCTCTATCATCTGCTCACCTCCAGGATGGTTTCAAACCGGTTGAAGACATCCATGGAAGCCAGGATCTTCCCGATGGATTTCTGCAGGGACACATTGAATGGATACTTGGGTTGGGTGGGCTTTGGAGTAGTCTGGAGAAAGAACACCTCCCCTTTTTCTGTCTTTGGCCACTCACAAAGAGAATGCTCCTCCCTGAGAGCCTGGATTAGCCCCTGGGGGATGCTGGAGACCTGAAGGCTACTGGCCAGAAGGTCTGGCCAACTTTGGAAAGGGCTGCTCAACCCTCCTCCTTCCGCTTACAGGGAAGGCTTCCCAGTCCTTCCTCACAGTCTGAGCAGCCCTGGGGAGAACATTCATTATTCCCACTCTAATTTCACTTAGCTATAGCCTAATCTCTCCTGAACCCCAGGATAGAGAGGGGCATCATCAACCCAATGTATTTAAACTTGATTGTGGGTAATAATGGAGCTAGAATCTTTGCCTAGTCAGACCCTGGGGACTCAGGTCCCTGTTCCCCCATCCAGGAGGGGAAGCTTACCCTAGTTTTCCTGCTACCCCTGACAGCCCTTAGGGCCTAAGGGGCAGGAATTTGGCATTTAAAATCAGTATTCCCTCTGCCCCTTCACTGGCCCCTTGGGACCAGAGATGCACCATTACTTGTAGGGAGGGCTATGGCTTCTTCCAAGGCCAAAGTCATTGTGAGAGCATCAAAAAGGGTCTAGTGAATGAAATAACCTCTTCGGAGGGTCTATACAAATCCATGAAGAGGGGAGAAATACCTGCCTTCCTTCAGTCCTCCTATCCTCTTTCTCCCACCTCTCTGCCCTGTGAGTCCAGAAATCTTCCCCTCATGGGGTCAGGGTCAAAAGTCACTGTTGAGCCTGGTTCCCAAGCAAACCCAGGGACTGCCTAGCAAATGGGTTAGAGTATTTGGTGGGGGTTGCTCCCTCCCCAGGGCTCCAGATGAACAATAGGTTTCATGGAGCCTGAGAAGTTAATCATGCAGGTGACTTGGGCTCTAGATTAAGATTGCCCCTTCTCCCTGCCCTGGGGTTCCAGATACACTTCTACACAAAGATGTGCACTCCCTTGGGGGCACTGTGGGCATGTGCCCAGGCATAAGGAGAGGTGGGTGATCACACAGACTACCTTTCGTAACTGCTTAGACAGCAAAAGAGAAGGAATTCCTGTCCTCTAGGGTTTGGTGAGGGGAGTGTATCCTCACCCTCACCCCTAGGAAGTCAGGCTTGGGTGTCTTAGGAAGGCTTCCTCTATTAAGGGTCCACTCTGTTCTGTCTCAGCCAACCTCAGCTAAGACCCCTGGAGCCCTGGGCCAGAGAGGGCACGTCAAGAACACACCATCACAAATCATCACAAAAAAATGCTCGCTTCTCTGCCTAGCACCTCCTTCCCCTGCCTCGGCTCTCTCAGTGGCCTCTGTCTGGTATTCAAGGCTCTTTTACAAGTAATCCCACCAGGCCTGACTCTCTCATCGGGCGAGCCACGAGACCCCTTCTCCAGGCTGCCTTCAGCACAGAAATGATCCTGGGCAGGGGCTAGAACACTCTCTTCTCCATCGCCCACCCCAGATGAATTCACTTTGAGAAGAGGACAGGCTTGGCTCACCTCTGGGTCTCCTTGGATGAAGGCTGAAGAGGGCTGTCTGCGGATATTGCTGACAAGATGGAAGATGCCGTTGGATGCAGGCAAGTTGGGCTGAAGGATGCTGTATGTCAAACCTGGTTGGTCTTTGTATTTGTATATTTTTTCAGAGCTCTACAAAAGCATCAGGCATCAAATCATTTTTCCCCTAACCAGGGCCCTGCCTGGTGACTCCTGAGCTCCTCCCTGCAGTGAGAGCCAGCCACCCAGCCTGCCTTCCAGAAGACCCCCAGGTCCCTAGATATCTTTGACCAGAGTAAGTGGTATAACTTACACACAATGCCTAGTTTCTAGCATCTGTTAGCCTAGAGACCCAAGAACCTAACAAAGACATCACAAGGGAATTTCATTCCCAAGCCCAGTCCCCATAGACTACAGCATTCAAGCCCATATTCCTCTGTCTGGCATTCAAGACCCTTGGTTATTGGGTCTATCCTGTCTACCTGACATCCATTCTCTCTGTGTCCTCCAATATGTCTCCTCCATGGCAATCTGGCCAAGCCTCTTCTCCACCTCCCCCTGCCAATACACTGGGCTGATGACTACTTCTGACACTCTGCTGGTGCCAGTTGAGGCTCAGAGTAGCTTTCTATGTTTCTATGCAATCCCTGAAGGATGCACCCAAGCCCTACCATCTCCCCAAAACCTTCCCAGGGAGCTGTCCCTCTTCCAAACATCTTCGGAAGTGCCTATAGTCAAAATCTCCAAATTTAGTCCTTAACTTTGGCCTGCTCAGGCCGCAGGGCTTTCTGAAAGCAAGACTTGGGTCTCCTTCTCCCATGTCTCCTTCAGATGGTCAGTTTCCCCAGAGTAGATCCCAGGGCCATTCCTGTTCTTTCTCTGCTCCACCTTTTCTATCCCCCATGGCATTAAGGAAAGGACTGAGCATATAGAGAGGCTCAGAGAAGATGGGAAGACTTTGTGGTCCTCTGGGGCCTCCTTACTAGATACTTGCTGCTAGTAAAGGTCAGTGACTCTCCAGCCAGTGTCCACAATGTCTTGGAGGTCAGGGGGGATGCGAGGAGATCTTTTATCAAGTGCTGTCCAGGAATGATGTGTAGTTTGCATACTGATCTTGATAACGATTCCTTCATGGAAAGCAAAAGGAGGATTTCAGGGGGGCTACTGGGAAAGAGCACTTGATGACCACAATGAGATAGCGACATACTTGAAGGCCCAGTGTCCCTGGGGTTCCATAGGAAGATTGGGGGTCAGCATGGTAGGACAGGAAAAATACTGGCTCTGGAGTTGGTGGACCTGACTCTAAATTCCACCTCTGACACTTGCTACCTGTGTGATCTTGGACAAGTCACTTAAACTCTCTGGGTCTCGGTTTTCTCATCTGTAAAATGAGGGGTTTGGACTAGATGGCCTCAAAGTCTTTTCTGGTTCGAGATCGATGATCCTATGAAGAAATTGGGGACCAGAATCCCAGTGGAACAAGGGAAGAGAGAACTATGGTTTCTGGTCCAAAAGTAGGCTTTGGGGGAGTCCCTGCAGCAGTTCCTCCTGGCTCAGATCAGAAACCACCAGAAAAGGGAAAAGGATTTTATCTGAAGGTATGGGCACCCTCTGAGGGGAAGGGGATTTCCAGGGAAAAGTTTGGCCTTCTCAGGAGGGGGTTAGGAAGAAGGGCTGAGAGATGGGGGGAGCAAAATATCTCCCCCCTCCCAGCCCTGTACTTTCCCCAGGAAGTCTATTGGTCAAGAAGGAAGGGAGAGGGTTGTTGAGCTCCTGAGATGGCACAATTCTGGGGAGGGGAATTTGCTAGGGTTCAGTGCCTTTGCTCCATGGTATATGTCAGGCAGGGGAAGACTTGCTCAGGTCCCTGGGTTGATGGGTGTAGGGATGAAGAAGTTCATACTCTGGGCCCCTCTGAGAGATAAGGGGAGGGAGCAGGTGAAACAAGGGGTCAGAAGAACCCAGGGGGCCAGTATCACTCACATTCAAACTCCCAGACAGGTACAAGGATGGGACCAGCACTGTGAAAGGCCCAGACTTGGACAGGATCTCCCCACAGCCTTTACCTGCCAAGGGGAGAGGATGACAGTAGCTCCCCCAGCCTGGGTGGGCAACCCTCTCCCCCCTAACAAGTGCTCTGCCTTGGTATCTATCCTCTGCCTGCAAGTAGGCTTCCAGCAACCTGGCTCCGCTGGCATTTCTCATACTCCTCTCCCTCTGCCTGGACCTGCTCCCTCCTCTGATGAAGCCAGAGTCCTGGCTTCAGGCCCTTCCCTCAGCAGGAGGTCCCCAGGTCAGTTTAGGAGGGGTATTACCCAGCATGGACAAGGCTGTAGTTAGCTTCCTCAGGTTCGGGCGCCGGTTGTTCAGTCTCTCCAGCTCTCTGATAAAGTGTCCATAACAGGAGTGTCCATCCCCGATCTCCCCTTCGTCACAGACACACCTGATGGGGGGTGGGGGATGGGAAATCAGCTTTAACAAAATCCTTTCCCTAGCTCTGGATCAATCTCTTTCGCATCCTCTGACCCCTTTTGTTCCTTAGTTCCCCTCTTTCTGCCTTCCTTTCTTCCTGCTTCTACCTATTCAAATTCCTCCTGCCCCCAGCCTCCAAGGCTCAGGTCAGATCTCTCCTTTTCCAGGAAACTTTCCCCAGCCTAGTCCAGAGTGGTCTTCCCTTCTCTGAGTCCCTAGAGCTCCTCACCTTTGACCTTTCTTATTGTCTAGTATTCAGGTCTTGCCTCCCTGGTTAGATTCGGGTCAAGAGACCTTAACTGAGGATTCCTTTGTGAAGAACGGTGTGCTAAGCTAAAATGAAGAAGAAAAGACAGAGACTCTGCCCTCAGGGTGCTTCTAATCTGGAGGACTATTGCAGTAGCCTCTGAACTGGTGCCCCTGCCTCATCTTTCCCTTCTCCAGCCCATCTTCCATATAGATGTCAAAGTGATTCCCTTTAAGTTCAGGTCTGACCTTGTCACTCCCCTGCTCAATGAACCCCAGTGGCAGCTCCCTATGGCCCATCGAACCAAATATAAGATCTTCTGCTTAAAAAGCAGAAGTCCTTCAGAACCTGGCCCCAACCTAGCTTTCCAGACTTATTTATGTATCACACATCTTGTCATGCTCCACAATTCAGTCAAACTGACTTTTGTGCTGTTCTTTTCACCATCTCCCTTTGAACTGACTGGAATCTTCTCTCTCCTTACCTCCACTTCTTAGAATCCCTGTTTCCTTCAAGGTTCAGCCCAAGCACCAGCTCCTAATCTACACGAAGTCTTTCCTGATCTTCTCACACCTTTCCCCAACCCCAGGCCCTTCCCTGTTGCTCCTTCCCAACACTACCTTGTATTTATTTCATAGGGCCTTAAATTTTTTTTTAAAAAATTCCAAACTTAAAAACCCCAAAAGAGCATTTCCATACACACAGAACACAAAGAAAGAGGATTCCGCATGAAACTCTGAATTTCCAATTCATACCACTTGCTTAAACAAAAGTATGTAACAAATTCTACATATCACTTTCAAAGCTGTTCTGCTCATAGGTGTCTCCTTCTGAACTCCCTCCTGTTCTCTTCTGTGTTTTTAAGAAATGTTTCAATGGCCTTCTTATTTTGGCATAACTATTACTGATCCCCCCCCCATTTAAATCTAGAGAAAGAAAGAAAGAAAAAGAAAGGAAGGAAAGAAAGAAGGAAAGAAGGAAGGAAGACCACCTTGCAACAAACAGGCATTGCCAGACAAAACAAGTAGATACAGTGGCCATATCCTGTCTCTTTCTGTTTCATGTCCATCATTTCTCTGTCAGAAGGTCTTGTTTTATTTTTACATATTCTCTCTCTCTCTACACACATACACACACACACACACACACACACATAGTGTGCGCAGATAGATATTATACACACACACCTACATATTGTCTCCCTCAGTAGAATATACATTCCTCAGGGGTTAGGAAAGCTGCATTTTAATCTTTTTTTTTAATCTAGGCACTTGAAAAACACTACTTCATTATCAAAAAACTGGAAGACACAGCAAAGAAGAGGATTGCCCTTGGGAAACCTCCAAATCTACCCAGAACAGGGCACCCGATCAATGCTTGTTGGTTCCTGATACCCATACAAGCACATCTAAACGAGCAGCTGCCTCCCCAGCCCAGGTTCAGCCGTAATTCCATTGGCTCGCTTGGCCTTGAATGACCGGCATTTCCCCATCCCTACTCCCCAATCTCCTCATCTCCCTCCACAATCACAGAGCCTCAGATTTGCAAGGACCTTCAGCCCATCCAGTCTGACCCACAAGTGAACGAGTGATATCCTTGACAAGTGAGCATCCAGCCTCTGTGTGAAGACCTCTAGTGATGGAGAGCTCTACTTGCTGAGACTGTTCCTATTTCGATGGCTCCAATTACCTTTCTTTTAATAGCCAAAATCTGCCTCTACAGCTTCTATCTATTGCTCCTAATTCTGCCTTCTGGGGCCACACAGAAGAAGCCTAATCCTCCTTTCAAGTGATGGTCAGTGTGCAAGTGTTTATTAAACACTTACTTATGTGCCAGGCATTATGCTAAGCACTGAGTAAACAAAAGAATGCCAAACAGCACAGTGCTTGTCCTGAAGAAACTCACTTTCTAATGGAGAAAACATGCAAACTACTTGGTACATCCAAGATGGATACAGCGTTGATGGAAGGTAATCTCAGAGGGGAAGGCACTAGCAGCTAAGGGCACCAGGAAAGGCCCCTGCACAAGGTAGGGCTTGAACCAAAACTTGAGGGAAGCCAGGGAGGCCAGGAGGCCGAAGTGAGGAGGGAGAGCATTGCAAACATGGGGGACTTCCAGTGCAAAGATGGGAATGGGAGATGGGATACTTGGTTTGAGGAAGGACGATAGGCCTATCCCCCTCTCTCATGCATCCCTTTACTGGCCCATTCCTCTCAAACCACAAACATGCTCTGGTCTTTCCCAATCTAAAAAACTTCCTCTTGACCCCGTCTCCCACCCCTCTCACATTTCATCCTCTTTCTCTCTTCCTCTTCTAGGAAAGGCTACATTTCCAGGAAGAACAGTCTATACTTGACTCCCTTGCTTCCTCAACACTCCCTCACTCACCCCTCAGCTCCTTTCAAATGATTTTTCATTGTGACTATTTTGCTGACATTGGTCTCTCAAAGGTCACCAGTTAGGCTTTCATTGCCGGCTCGTCTAGGCTCTTCTGATCCTAGGCTTCCTTGCCTTCTCTGCGGCATTTACTGCTCTTGACTACCCCCTTCTTCTGAATATTTTCTCTTCTCTTTGGACTGCCACGATGGTGGACACTACTGGCTCTCCCCCATCTGTCTGATCCTTCTCAATTGCTCTTTCTGGTTCATCCTACTCCTGTCTCCTATGTGTGTTGCGTGGGGGAGGGGTTTCCCCAAGGCCCTGTCCCTTACCTCTTCTCTTAGAAAGAGAACATACCTATCAGTACTGTCTATCTCATCAACTCCATTGGTTTCCATTACCACCTCAATGGAGGTGACTCCCAAATCTATCTCTGGGGGCAGCTGGGTGGCGCAGTGGATAAAGCACTGGCCCTGAAGTCAGAAGGACCTGAGTTCAAATCCGACCTCAAACCAAACACTTGACATTTACTAGCTGTGTGACCCTGAGCAAGTCGCTTAACCCCAATTGCCTAAAAAAAAAATTCCAAATTACCAAATCTATCTTTGCTCCAATCTCTCCTTAGACCCCCTGACCCACATGAATGTCTCACCCAAATCTCAAACTCAATATGTCCAAAGCAGAACTCATTGCCTTCCCCTCTTAATCTGCCCTTCTCACTTATTCTGGTGATGGTCTCCTCCTCCTCCTCTAAGCCATCCAGGCTCAAAATTATGAGATCACCCTTGACTCTTTTCTCTCCCTTCCTTACAATATCTAATCAGTCAGGAAGTCTTGGAATTCGACAATACCTCTCACACCTGTCCCCTCCTATTCGCTGAGCCTAGCTCAGACCATAATCACCTCTTCCCTGGACCACTGTTGTAAACTTCTATCTCATCTCCTTAACTTCTCTCTCTCCCCTTTCTAATCTAGCCTTAACTCAGTTACCAACATGGCCTTCCTAAGGTCTGATTGTGTGACCCCTCTGACCAAAATCTTTGGTTCCCTATTGACACTAGGATAATGATAAGAATTATAATTATAATAATTGCTAGCATTTATGCATCATCCTTGCAAACCTTTTTTTTGCACACATTATCTCATTTGATCCTTGCAACAACCCTATGGAGTAGGTGCTATTATTATCCCCATTTCATAGAGGAGAATACTGAGGCTGAGAGAACTTAAGTGATCTGCCCAGGGTCACACAGCTAGCGAGTAGCCGAGGCAGGATTCAAACCCAGATTCTTCTGACTCCAAGCCTGGCACTCTATCTGCCACACCACACTGCCTGATCTAAAATACAAACCCCTAGAGGCAGCTAGGTGGTGCAGTGGATAGAGCACCAGCCCTGAATTCAGGAAGACCTGAGTTCAAATCTGGCCTCAGACACATAACACTTACTAACTATGTGACCCTGGACAAGTCACTTAACCCCATGGCCTAGCCCAAAAAAATAAAATAAAATAAAATACAAACTCCTTAACTCCAGGCCCAACACTCTATCCACTGAGGCCTCTAGCTGCCTTGCATACTTATTTATGACGTAACATATTGCATCCATCCATCTCTGCCCCCTTCCCATTCACCAGTAATCTTTTTTTTTTCATTTTTGCATCTCCAAAACCCAGAAGGTATTCAATTGTTTGGTGCAATGAAATGAAACTGACTCAGGCATCTTAGTATGGACCCTCACATGCGCATGCCCTACCCCAAGTCCTAGGTCACAGAGCTGGAAGGGACCTGTATATAATAGAACTTTCTTCTGCCTCCTTATTTTGCAAATAAAGAAAGTGAGGCTCACAGGGGTTAGGTAACTTCCACGGGTCACTGGGACCACAAGGGGAGGGCTCGGATTTGATGCAAGGGTCTAACGCTCTGACTGGTGCTCCTCCCCCTAGGCCAGGCTGCCTCTCATTTATACTCATACAGACTCTCTGGCCTTCAGAATCTCTAGCCGTTGTACCCATTAACTGAGATGTTACCACTCACCCCTATCCATTCCCACATGCTCACACACAGAGGCATGCCTAGTCCTACAGTCCCACACGCTCACTCACACCGCCATATACTCACCTGGCCTTCCCCTGCTCATCGACCTTGCAAGTGGCTGAACTGTCACAGAAGAAATGACGGCAGGGGGCGGTGGCAGGCATGCAGCCATCTGAGATGTTGAAGCTAATCCTGATTAGGCCTGGTTTACAGGTGCAGGAGGACTGGGGCGCCAGGGGAGGAGCAGAAACCCTCCGTCGGCTGCAGCTCGGAGTGGGGCAAGGGAAGGAGCCTAGGCTCCCTCAGCCCCTTCTTCAGCTCTTCCCCACCCCCACCCCAGACAGCTCCCATAGGATTCTGGAGCCTGAATCCCAGATACTGGATGTAGGCCAGTTTGGCATCCTAGAGCCATCCCCGCATGGAGAGGAAGGAGGAGCCCCCTCCCTCCCAGCCTTACCCTCATCTAGTATCCCTGGCTGGGAGCCCATGGTCACCTTGCCTGGCTCCACGTATCGGCATTGAGTGGTGTCACTGGGGCAGCCACCATAGTTGGAAGTGCAGGGGTCTAGGGGTTGGCAGAACTTCCCATCACCATGGTAACCAGGCTTGCACTTGCATTCAAAGTCTCCATCATCCAGAGCCGAGCATGAAGCAAAAGGAGAGCAGGAAAAGGAAGAACAGGGATCTTGGGCTGAAAGATTTAAAGAAGAAGAGGGGCCATGAACATCAGGCAGGGAAGCTGGGGTTAGCCTATTCTATATACAGTGAGGGAGGCCAGCTGGGGTATTAGCAGCAGGTTCACAGGCATTTAATATACATTCAATGGATGCATGCATGCACGGGATGAATGATTGAGTCGGACAATCAATCAATTCTTAGTCATCATGTTGGCCGGTTAGAACCCTTGGTTGTCCCTACAGGATAGCATATGACACGGGGATGTGGTTTCAGGGCCCTTCCCTGAGCAGTTGCTGAATCCATGAATCCCTTTAATGAAGATGATATCTTTCATTTCCCACCAGGAAATCAGGCCAATGCCTAACTGGAGATGAATTCATAGTAAAGTGTAAATTACTGAGTGGGATCCTTTTTCAATTGAAGAGGAAAATGAGAAGAGAACAGGGTAAGAATAGAGTTTGAGAAAGGGAAGGGAGATTGCAGAAAGGAGAAGCTGAGGGCACTGAAGTCAAATTTCCCCATTTTTAACAATCTGTCTCTGTGTCTAAATGTGCATACATAGGTTAGAGTTGGGCCCCTGTTGGGGTGTAGAGAATTGGGGGGTCACTCCTTTTTTGAGCAGCGAGGGCTTTTCCTGGGTCTTCCGAGGTCTGGGGTTAGGTGGTTCTAGGGGCTCACCTTGGCATTGGCTGCCCTGGAGCCGGTAACCTGGTAGGCACTTGCAGCTGGGTACCTTAGTGTCTGCTCCCACACACTGTGAGTTCTTTGGGCAGGCCAAGGCCTTGCAGCCAGGCGCTTCTGGAAGCAGAGCAGAAGAACAGGGCAGAATAGTAGAAGAGGTAGTCAGGACCCCTGGGTCCCAGTCCTAACTCTGACCCTGACTCACTGAGTCAACTTGGACAAAACATCCCCTTCCTCTGCAAAGGGGGGGAGGGGGAGGTTGGTCTCAGTGATCTCTGACCTCCCTTCTAGCCCTAAGGTTCAGGTGGGCCTATTAGGCAGGAAAGAATTAGGCTGAGAGTGAATTACTGAGAACTAACCCACGGTCCCCATTTGCTTTTCTGTCCTCCTCCATGCCTGTGGCCACCCTCTGCCCTGAAAATGCTTCCTGAGGCCCTCCTGGCCCAGGTCACTCACCCTGGTCACACCGAGGGCCAGTGTAACCAGCAAAGCAGAGACAGCTCCCATCACCTTGGGGTCCATTCTTGCACACCCCATGGACACAGTCACACACTGTAAGGAAGAAAAGAGCGCCATCCTTAGAGCTTACCCAGCACCTTGACTGGGTATCAAGCCTGGGATCAGGCCTGGTCACTTCACACACCCCTCCTCTCCCCGTCCCAAGCCAGGGATACCTAGGAGCTCTTCACTCTGTGAAAACTAGAACACAAAACTCCATCCCCACCCCGTTCTCCAAAATTCATTTGGACCTGGTGGGGCCAAGGGGTGGCCCTAAGCAGGGAAACAGAGAAATACCTTTTCCTAAGAGCTCGTGGGTGGGTTGGAGAGGTATGAACAGGTAAAGACAGACTGCATGAGGACTGGCTGGAGGAGAAGTCTCACGGTGTTTTTCTTTCTATTTCTTATTTTCGTTCCCTTTCCCTCTGTCTTTTTATGTAGAACTCTGATTGTGTCTCTCTTTTGATGCCTGTGTCTGATGGCTTTTCCTGGTCTGTGTACTCTTCTCTGTCTCTCCACCTCTCTGTCACTCTCTGTGGGTCTCTGTTTATGTGTCTCTAACTTTGTCTGTTTCTGTCTCTCATGTCTGTCTCTCTGCCTCCCTCTCACTCTCTGTGGGTCTCTGTTTATATATCTCTAACTCTGTCTCTCTCTGTGTCTCTTTCTGTCTTTGTCTTTTTCTCTGTATCTCTGAGTATGTCTCTCTGTGTCAAATGGATTTTCTTGGTCTGCATACTTGTTTCTGTCTTTCTGTCTTTCTTTCTCCCCTCCCTGCCTCAGTCTCTGTCCCTTGGCCTGCGTCTCTATGATACCTTCTGTTCACTCTAACTCCTGCCCCCTTACCTGACTTGCAGTCAGGGCCAAATGAGTTCCCATCTTTGCACTCCTGGCAGGCAAAGCCACCAAATCCTTCCTGGGGAGAGATATAGCCCACTGGCTGGTTGAGAGGTCCTCCCTTTGCTTCCCCAAGACTCTGATGCTTCCTTCCTCTCTTGCTTCACCATGGGCCCATGCTAGGGGCTGATTAGCCGCTCCTGTCCTCCCCTCAGTGCCCACCCCACAACCTCTCACCTCACACACACACGTCCCATTCTGACCAATCCCATCCAGGCAGGTACCATGACCATTACAGGGCTTACTGGCTCCCCCAGGACACTCTGTGAAGAATCAGGAGGGTCAATAGGGCTCAGGCTCCAGCCCTAGAAGATGCCAGGCCCCCTGTCACTCTGACAGAGATGAGCCAGGGACATAGAGACACCTTTGGGCATCAGAGGGTGCCGAGAGTCCAGCCACCCCTCTCTCCCTCCTGGGGGGGGGGCGGAGTTTGAAGGTGCCTCCTACATCTGGTGGAGGTCAGGAGACCCTCACCATGAGACCCAGAGTCAGTCTTCCTGCTGGAAGAGGAGCCATTTGTAAGATGGCCTTGGCCTCATGTGGTCATGGTCCCTTTGTTGCAGGGGAACTGAGCTGGTAGGTCTGGGGCCCACCCCCATGGTAAAAAGTTTGCAATGTTCCCATTGGTCCCTGCCCCATACCGTAGCACTCAGAGCCCCAGTACCCAGGACAGCAGGCCTTCTCTTCCACTTCTCTCCAGCAGGTCTGGCTGCAGCCAGACATCAAGATGTTGTTCTCTCCCAGAGTCACAGTGTAACTGAGACAAGAAAGGGGTCAGTAATGGAGATCCTGCTGTAAGGGCCCCTTTCTTGGGGCAACAAGCAGTGGAGGCCTGAACCCTTGGGCATTCAGGACCCACTTTAGAGAAGGTAGAAAGATCTGAGAGGATATGGAGGAAAGGATACTTCTCTCTGTCCAGTGGGGCTTTTTGATGTCTCCACGAAACTTATCCTGTTCATCTGAGGCTTTCAGCGTTGATTTCCCTCCCATCTTCTTGGGCAGACTCCCACCTCCAAATAATTGTTCCTTTTTCTCCACCCCACCAGTTGTGCCTTTCCCAAGTTTTTCCTTAAGACCCTCCCAACCATACACTGCTCCTAGTAATTTCCTCTCTGTCCTGCCTGGGACTTCCCAGCCGCAGGGTTTTGGGTATTTGGTGGGGAAGTAGGGGTAACAAGGATAGGCTAATACCTGCATTCCTCCATTCCTTTATCCCAACTCTTGCTCCAGCCTGGTGGGCAGACCTGATTCTTAAAAGCTGCACATGAGGTACATGGAGGATTTGTGAGGAACTTTGTCTTCATATTACAGTGTTTGGAGTGGACCTATACAGAAGGTAGAAAGTGAGGAGAGAGGGGTCTAAGAGCCCAATGCTCCCTCATCTTCCCACCTAGGATCACAGGCAGAAAAAGTCAGAGCTTTTCGGAGCTTTAGAGACCGTCTACTGAAACGATCTCATTTTACTGAGTAGGAATTGAGGCGTAAAGAGGGAAAAGGACTTGTTCAAGGTCACAGAGTGATGTCAGGGGCAGAGGTGGGCTGAAAACCCAGTTGTACCGACCCTCAATTTAGGTCTCTTTTCACTACCTCATTATGCCTTTCCCTATTCCCTGTAAGAAGCTATGCATTTGCTTCTTTAAATTCTGCTCCTAATATGTTTCCTCTTTAGACTATAATGTCATTTAAGTGACAATGGTGACAAAATTTAGAATTTAAAAATTAGAATTTAAAAAAAAACCCAGATGTTATTTAATATGATTCTATGTTACTACTTTTAACACAATTATCTTTTTATAAATATGTACGTGATTGAGTGGAACATCAATGGATTCTTTCAATTAGCCACAAATGTGACTGAAACCAGGCTGTTTAGACCAGGTAACCTAACCAAAACACCATTATTCACTTGTGATCTAATTATAAATAAAGTTCCCAAGAAGAAGCAAACAGCCTTCATAGCAGGGAAAGAATAATGAGTTTGGAGTCAGTGGATCTGGATTTGAATCCTGGGTCTGCTGCTTGTTTCCTGCGTGCCTCTTGGACAATTCACTTAACATCTCTGGGGCTAAGTTCCCTCGTATGTAGATAGACTGACTCCTTCCCCTAATTCCTCCTCCTGCCTAATAAGGGCCCTCATTTTATTGGACTAGATCAGAGGTATCAGACTTACAATACTCCAGAATGCAGCCCAAACAAGATTAACATGTAATTGGAAAATATTTAACAAAAAATAAGTAAAAAAATAAGTAAAAATACCAGTGGAACATAGATAATGTTAGTATGTGGTTTTCTAAGTCAACACGCAGCCAGTGGGGATCTTCATGGAGTTTAATTGCTCCATTTTTATTGGAGCTTGACACCATTGGCCTACATGACGTATAAGGTCTCAAGCTCTGAATCTATGAGCCATTGAACCTCTGACCTAAAATGACAACGGGACTATGAGGGTCCTTGTGTGTGTTTGTGTCTGTGTGTAGGTGCATCCACTGGAGGGTGGACCAAGGAGCCAAGTGAGAGTTCAGAGGGGCTCAGTTTGAGCTCTGACTATGCAGGCATGTGATTCTTGGTTTGTAGCCTTGTGGTGACTGATTAAGGAAGCCCCACCCTGGGGAGAGAGCTGAGTCCTCGATTTGGATAGGTCTTGTGCTAGGGAAAAGATCTCCAGGCCTATTCCTAGAAGGGATGTGGCAACAGCTGTCCTCCCCTTAACACTCCCCCCTCCCTGACTCCAGCCAACTATTGTACAAGAAAGGCTGATAGGGAAGGGGGGTGGGTAGAAGAGACTAGCCCAGGGTCAGAGCGAGTTTCTTTTACTTTAACTTTAACTCAGGAAAACTTGGGAGGCAAAGGTGGATATAAAAAGAAAATTTGGGGCCAAGAGCATGGAGCAAGATGTCCTAAGGTCACCAGCTTCCCTGCTTGGACCGTTTTGCTGCCTCAATGTATGCATTTTCCTGCCTTCAAAATATGGCCAGTGGTGTCAAACTCAAGTAGAAACTGATCCAGTGCTGGCATACTGGCTTAGAAAACCACAAAGTAACATTATCTATGTTGCATTGTATCTTTGTTTATTTTGTTAAACATTTTTCAATTTACATTATAATATGGATCAGTCCATGCTTTTAGGAGTTTGGGGGCTCCATATAACCTGCCAGCTGAGAGTCTGACACCTCTGGGACCCATCTCCATCTGTTTCAGGAAGTCTTTTTTGACTAGCTCTATCTGAATCCAGAACCATAACTAGGAATCCCAGCACTTGAGATATATTCAGTTAAGTGGTGGTAGGAGTAGTTGACAGGGATCCTTCCTAGGTCAGTGGCCTGGCATTTGTTTGGAGTAAGATCAGTTGAACAGTGAGAGAGAAGGTGAAGAGGATTCGTCGGTCCTAGGCGGGTACAGTCTCACCAGGAGAGGGGGTAGCCTGTCCCCAAGAGGGTATGACCCCAGTCCCTGTAACACAGCTGATGATGTCTGGCCCTCGATCCCTTTCTCCTAGGGGGAAGGAGAGTAGAGAGGACAGGCAGGTCCAGGGTGGTAGAGAATGACAGACCCCAGGAGAAAGGCAAGAAACTTAGGGTGGTGCTGAGTGGAGTGGGACCAGAGGACCTCAGGGTGGGGGACAGCAGACTGGAGATCCATTAAAGGAAGAAAACACTCCCCAAATTCAGGTGCTCTGGGACAAAGTCCCAGCTGCCCAGCCCTAGTAGTAGTATTCCCAGCCCATGCAACCCCTCTCTACTGAAGCCTCATTTTGATCTCTGACAGAATTCTGTGCATTTGCTTCTTGCTTCTTCCACACATTCCCCAACAGATTCCCTACTCCCCCCATCTCTAGGATGTGAGTTCCCTGAGGGCAAGGCCTCAGTCTGCTCGTCCTGGGCTGCAAGAATCTGGAGACTTAGGTGCTAGCCTTGGCTCTTCCTATGACTCGTGAGATAAGTTCCCCTTGCCCCCTCTGGCCCCAGCTTCTCTTGTCTATGTCAGTTAGGGATAACAATGCCTATGTCACATAGGGACAAACCCATTTGGCTGGCCTGCCTATCCCACAAGGGGGCTTAAGGCTTTTAGGACACAACAGATGGGAAAGCATGTTGGAGCAGAAATGGGAGATTATTATTACTGTCACGTGCTGATCTCTTAAGGAACCTCGAATTCCACCCCTAAGTCAACTATACCTGGTGCCAGGAAGCTTTGCATCTCCCTTACACTGAGCCCAGATAGGGAAACTGAGATTTGGACCTCATGTAGAGACAGAGACTCAGACATAGAGGGACAGAGGCATCCCATGGCTCAAAGGGAGACAGAGAGACAAAAAGAAACACAGAGACACAGAATCAGGGACAGAGCTGCATAGATTCAGGGGGAGAGAAACAATCTCTTGACAGGCCCACTCAACAAACTCATTCATTCATGCATCCCTTCTTTCTTTCTTTTATCCATTCATCTATTCCCTAAATATATATTCAGCACCTATGTGCAGAATACCGTACAAGGTATTAGTGGATGCATAACAAAGATATTACTTTCACAAAATTCACAATCCAGTAGGTTAAGACAAAAACAGAAACAAAAAAACAAACGATACAATGCTCCAGAGTGTGACACAGAAATGCAACTCAAATGTGACAGAGGTCAAAGGAGGAACATTGCTGCTGATAGAGGGAATTACTGAAGTCTTCCTGGAGACTCAGAGAGACACAGAGAAAGAGAAAGAGAGACAGAGACAGAGACAGAGAGAGAGAGACAGAGAGAGAGAGAGACTGAGAGAGAGAGAGAGGATGAGGACACAGACACATGCTCAGACAGAACAGTGACAAATAAGAATTTCTTAGTTCAACCCCAATCAGAAGGGCTAGGCAATGGTCCCTTGGTCACCAGTGGAGTATCTTTAGGGGCTGGGGGGAGGGGCAGGGACCAAGCAAGTCCTGAGTGCCTGAGAGAAACTGGAAGCTCAGTGACTTTGTATCCCTCATGTGGGAGCAGGCCCACAGCAGATGCTCCATCAATGCTGGAGACTCTAAGGGGATAGGAACAATGTCTACTGTAGTCATAACAGATAGTTGACAGGCCTGGGAGGGCTTCATGAAACCTGTGGGCATACTCCCATTTAGGCTAGGCAGCACTGAGGCAAAGAGAGACAAGGAGACACATAGGGAGAGAGACACACACAGAGACTGGCAGAAGAACATGGTGACACAAGGAAAGTGACAGAGGGGCAGAGGCACACATTTAGGCAGAGAAAGGGAGAGAGAGAGGGACAGGTGAAGATAGAGAGAGGGAGACAGCAATAGATGGAGATAGAGAAATAAGGACACAGAGAGACAAAGACGCAAGGGAACAGTGAGAAAAAGTGATCTGTCCATCCTCAGATTTTCCTAGACTGTTTCATCTGGCTCTCTCCCTTGCCCCAGTGATCACATCCTGTTTTAAAGCGTGCTTGTTTCTGGATCAGATCTCCCCTCTTGGAATGTAAGCTTCATGAAAGCAGAGGACGTATTGTTTTTTCACTGTTGTATCCCTGATAATGAGCACACAATAGGTGCTTAATATATGTTTATTGAATTGAATTGGAATTGAGAGAACTAGCGTCAGAGAGACAGATGGAAACACAGGTGTCAGTAGTCATGTAGTCACAGAAAGCAGCAGCCAGACGAACACTGAGATCTAATCATACCCAGAGAGACGGAGATGCCCAAAAATTCATGTATGGAGACGTGGAGAGAAGGGAAGAGAGAGACAGACAGAGACAAAGACAGAGATAGAGACAAAGAGAAACAGAAAAGGAACCAACAGTTTGGTCACTGACACAAAGACGGCGTTGGGACAGGTACTATATCCCAACCCCTCCCCCCACCCCCAACACATCCAGGCCCTTTTTGTCCCATCCCGATTCCCCTCAAACTCCCAAGGACAATTTCCAATGCCTGACATTCTCTCTAGTCTCTGTCCCATCCAGAGGACGTTGAATCCGACCCCAAATCCCTGAGACTCCATCAAGTCTACCCCCCAGTACTGGCCCCAGTCTTTATCCCAGCCTCAAACCCAACCAGACCCAACCCACCTTTTCTCCCTTCCCCTGGCCCACAGCGGCCAGCCAGAGAGCCAGGAGCCAGAGGAGACGTGGCCTGCCAGGGCCAGGCATCGCCAAACTCAGCAGCCTCAGAATGGGGGCAAGGACTGTGGGCAGTGGAACCTCCAGACACTGTCTAGGACACAGACGATCCAGAATGGGGATGGGGGAAGCTGCCTGCCTTAAAAATGACACACACACACACACACACACATACACACACACACACACACACACACACACACACTCACTCACACAAACGCCCAGCCAGTTCACCCCAAACAGGAACCCATCAGGATTTCCTCTTACATATCAGCCGCAAACAGGCGGAAGGAAAACCTCGGCCACTGACCACCAGGAACAGACTGCTCAGGCCCTTGGCAGGTCCGGAGGCTGAGCCCTTAGCAGTCAGCCTGGCCCGGCCCCCAGGATGCTGCCAAGGGGTGCAGGAGCAACAGGAAGCCCACCCCCCATTTCTCCAGCAACATGTCCTTTACCTCTGCAGTGACTGCAACAATGAGTGCCTAAAATGCCATCATTAGAGTGATCATTCATCTGGGCCATCTAGAGTCCTCTGTTAGGTACACGTCTCTGGGAGGGGACACTTTAAAGGTTTCATTGTTGTTGTTCAGTTGTTTCAGTCATGTGTAACTCTTCATGACCCATTGGGAGTTTTCTTGGAAAAGACACTAGAGTGGTTTGCCATTTCCTTCTCCAGCTCATTTTACAGATGAGAAAACTGAGGCAAACAGGGTTAAGTGACTTGCCCAGGGTCACATAGCTATGTGTCCAAGGCCAGATTTGAACACAGTTCTTCTTGACTCCAGGCCCAGTGCTCTATACTGCACCACCTTAGCTAACATTTTATTGGGGGAGGAGAGGAGTCATAGGATCTTAGCTATTTAAAAAATAGGTTTTTAATTTATATCTTTGGTTTTTATATAGCCTAGATTTCCCAATTTTCCTTCACCTCCCCCTCTCCTATCCCAGAAAGCCATCCCTCATAACCAAGAATTTAGGATACTAAATTCTAGACACTAGATACAACTAAATACTAGAATCTAATACTAAATCTAAATACTAGATACTACTACTACTACTATTACTACTACTGCTACTACTATTACTACTACTGCTACTACTACTACTACTTCTACACTATACTATACTATACTATACTATACTATACTATACTATGCCATATTGTACTACTACCTACTGCTGCTACTACCAACTAGAATTTATGTATTGATTAAAGGTTACAAAATGCTTTACAAATATCTCATTTTATTCTCACAACCCTGGGAGGTAGGTGCTATTATTATCCCCATTTTACAGTTGAGGAAACTGAGGCTAAAGGAGGGTAAGTGATGTGCCCAGGGTCATACAGCTAAGAAGTGTCAGAAGCAGATGAGCTCAGTTCTTCCTGGTGACAAGTCCAGCACTCTATCCAGACTGGACCACCTAGCTGCAGAGATTTTCAAGCTGGAAAGAATCGGACATCTCGTCCAATACCCTTATTTTACAGATAACGAAACCGAGGTAGAGCGCTTTAATAACTCACTCCAGGTTATAGGGCTGCAAAGTTTCTGGGGGTGGGATTAGAACCCAGGTCTCTGATTCCAAGGGCTGTGTTGTATCTGAATGGGGGCGGGGTGGGGAGGGTGGAGGTGGGAATTTTACAGCAAGGCAAGGAACAGAGCTCTAGGTTGCAAGGTAACCCATTGGGTTCCATTCCCAGTTCTCTCACTGACTGGCTTCTGTGAATATGATCAAGCTCCTTCCCCTCCCTACGCCTCAGTTTCCGCATCTTTAAATAGAGGATGATCTCTCAAGAGTCTTCTGATGCTGACATTCAATTCAAGTGTTAACCTTTGGTTAACAGAATCAGGATTCAAAAAAGTTTGAGATGAACCAGACTGACTGGGGAGAGCGGGGGCAGGGGTGGATATGAGGAAGTATAAGGGGGATAAATGTGAAGTTCTACATTTGGTTTTTTAAGAAATAAAAATTAAAAATAAAACCCCCGGGGGGAGGGGCTCGGTGGACTGAACATTTGTTAGGAGTCACTAGTATATGAAATCTCTTGGCTTCAGTTTTCTTCTCTCTAAATGATGGCTGTGGTCCCATCCAACTCTAAAGAGTGTGATGGTCTCATTTTAGACTGTGTCAATAGAGGTCAAGTTCACAGAATGCAGGAGGTGATGACGGTCCCATTTGTCCCATGTATTGGATGGCATATGTTGGGAAGGTTGCTAGCAAACTGGAGTATTTCCAGAAAAAGACAACCAAGATGAGAAGAAAAGTGGAAAGCCTTCTATGCAAGGCACTCTATGCAGTGATCCATGGAAGGCACTGGCGATTAGCCGAAGGGAAGATTCAGAAGGGAAGGATGATTCTCAGATCTCCTTATCCAGCCTTAATCTGTCTGCTGCACTTCCGTCCCACATCTCCACCTGCATATTGTATATCTCAAATTGGATGTCCCACAGAAAGCTTCAACGCAAACGGAAGCCATTGTCTTTCTCTCCAAACCTCCCCTCTTCCTAACTTCTTTATTACACTACCATCTTCCCAATCATCCAGGCTCATGACTTAGGTGTTATCCTCAACTTCTCCTTTTCTCTCATCCATCATATCCAATCTATTGCCAAAGCCTGTCAATTTCACCTTTGTGACATCTCTCATTCCCGCTTCTCTCCTCTGACACTGTCACCACTCTGGCATGGGCTCTCATCACCTCCCACCTGGATTAGTGATAGTCGGCTGATGGGTGTGCCTGCCTTAAGTTTCTCTCAACTCCATTCTCTCCTCCACTCAGCTGTCAAAGTGATCTTCCTAAAATGCAGGTCTGATAATGTCAGCCCCTACTCAATGAACTCTCATGGCTCCTTATCACCTTCAGGATCAACTATATTCTTTTTGGTGTTCACAGCCTTTCATAAGCTAGCCTCCTCTGTACCTTTCTAATCTTCTTATACTATACCTTCCCTCACCCCCACTCCACCCTTACCCCACCTCCCTGCCATGTCCTCTACCATCCAGTTATAATGGCTCTCTTGCCGTTTCTCTCACACAAGACACTCTGTCTCCAGACTCTGGGCATTTTCTCATTTTCTCTGGCTGTCCCCCATGTCTGGAATGCTCCTCCTCCTCATTTCTACCTCTTAGCTTCTCTTTCTTCAAGTCCCAGCTAAAATCTCACTCCCTACAGGAAGGCTTTTCAGATCCCTCTTAATTCTAGTGCTTTCTCTCTGTTGATTATTTCCAATTTATCCTACATATAGCTTATTTGAACATAGTTCTTTGCATGCTGTGTCCCAATTAGAGTAAGAGATCCTTGAGAGCTAGGACTGTCTTTTGTCTTTTTTTTCCCCCATATCCCTAGAACTTAGCACATTGCCCTTAATAAATGCTTATTTCAAATATCTGAAAAGATGTCATGGAAAGAGGGGTTGGGTTTTTTCTTCTTCTTCTTCTTCTTCTTCTTGTATAATGAGATGGCCTTCTATGAAATCTGGGGGTTGCCTATTGTTTATTCTGATTTTTGAGGTGAGGAGGTACTAGGGCACTTTCCTTGCATCTCTGGCCCACACCCTTTTCCGGTGCTATGGGACCTGATGAGGTCTTTCATGCCATTTCTTGTGTAACATCATTGCTGATATATGGTAGCCTTCTTACTCATGCAGAGCACCTTGACCTTTAGGTCACCTTTGATTGGGATTCTTACGCAATCTTGGTGTTCAGTGGTTTTAGACCATACAGCATCACTGGGAGAATTTTAGTGTTGAAAAGATGGGTTCATATGTCGGAAGGCAGCTTGGGATCATGGCAAGCACCATAGGATTTCCTAAATGCCACTCACCCCAATCTCTTCTTCCTTTTCCAAGGGTTCTTAACTTGGGATCCATGAACTTTAAAAAAAAAATGTAATAACTTCATTTCAATAGAATTGGTTTCCTTTTTACTTTGTGCATTTAAAAACATGACTCTGAGAAAAGGTCCATAGGTTTCTCCATATTACCCAAGGGTCCATGGCATGACAAATAGATGAAGAACTCCTGTTCTATTTCATTTTAAGCCCAGCTTCTCACCCAGATGAAGAACTCCTGTTCTATTTCATTTTAAGCCCAGCTTCTCACCCAGCTGGAATGACTATCCAAGACATAAGTATAGACAGTCTGACTTAATGGGTTGACATCCAATTCTGGGCAACACGTGTTTTTTACCTGTTTCATTTTTTTTTCTGTATAGATTGCAAAGCCAATATGAATCTCATTGAGGAGGCCCTGTTGTGCTCCAGAGCTTGGCGATAATGAATGCATCATCCAAAGAGAAATGTCTAGAGATGCTTGTGATTAAACCCTAGACAGTGTGTGATCTAGACCAGACAATGTAGAGCCAGTGGAAGTGGAGAAGGGATAGAGGTGGGAAGGACCCAATTGGAATGGCAGCAGTGGAAAGGGAAAAGTGATTAGGGACTGGGGACAATGGATCTCTCAGCCCTGGAAGAGGGGGGTCAAGAAGCCTAGAGAGCCTGGAGCCTCAGGTTGGGGTTCAGAGGTCAGGGAAGATTGGCAGAGTGTTGAAAACCCCAGGACCAAAGGCCAAGATGCCCTGAATGATCTCCAAAAGAAGGTGTTGTCCCAGGAGGTGATTGCTTACAGTGAAGCCCAATGCCCAAGGATCCTTTATAAGTTAGCCCCACAGGGTAGAGGGGTAAGTTCAGGCTTGATGTAAAGAAAAACCTCCCTTGGCCAGGTTATGCCTAAACTGAAGGAAATATGCATAATAAATATTTCTAAATTCTGAATACAAGTCAGTAGAATAGTGATACTTTGTAAGCTTTTCAGGATCTTATTTCTTATGTAAATACTTCATTCAAACATTTTAAAATGAGTATACTTGAGGTTGCCAAATAGAAGACTTAAAATAACAAAAATCATTGTCTCAAAGAAAAAAAAAGAAAAATCTCCCAACAACTACAGTTGTCCACGCTGGAAAGACTGCTGTAGGGGACAGTGAACTCCTCATGGATGACTGCTTGTTACCGTTATCTTACAGGATATCTGCCCACCTGCTCAAGGATGGGCTCATCTAGATAGCCCTTTGAGGTTCCTTCTACACACACACACACACACACACACAGAGTAAACCCTGCCTTCTCAATATTTTGAAA